AGAGGCTTTGGGCGCTGTGTGGGTGCTTCACTGCACTTCATTCCAGCAGTCCCAGCTGCTCCCCTCCTGTCTCGCTCTTTCCTGTCCACTCCACTGTGGTGGTGGAGCCCCGTCCCCAGCTGCCTTGCAGGTCCCTGTCCCCCCGGCTGCATGGGAAGGTGCCCTGCCTGGAGCCACTCTCTGTCTCCCCAGGACGACCAGATCGAGCAGGAGCAAGTGTCCCAGCGCCTGGCTGGGGGCTGCTGTGCCCTGGCTGCCATCTACCTCATGGGCAAGTTCTACGTGGCCAACGCTGGTGACAGCAGGTACAGCCCCACAGGGCAGCCCCATCCCGCCTGGAAACTGGGGAGCGAGCACTCTGGTAGAGCAGAGCAGTGCTGGAGGCTTGGTGAGGAGCACTTAGCTCCATCCCTGAAGCTGGGCTGTGCTGGGGAGAGGGCAGAGGCACCCCCTGTCTGCCCCTGGACAACATGCCCTGCTGTGATCTTTGTGTTTGACCAGGGCACCCGTGGGCCTTGCAGAATCATCTGCCCAAATCTGGGATTTGCTCCCTTCCTTCCCAAGAGCATCCCAGATGGCTCTGGATCACACCCTGCCCCTGCTGCCAGTGCTGGCCTGGGCAGCAAGCTGGGGTGTGGAAATTGCCACCCCCTGTCTGCCCCTGGACAACATGCCCTGCTGTGATCTTTGTGTTTGACCAGGGCACCCGTGGGCCTTGCAGAATCATCTGCCCAAATCTGGGATTTGCTCCCTTCCTTCCCAAGAGCATCCCAGATGGCTCTGGATCACACCCTGCCCCTGCTGCCAGTGCTGGCCTGGGCAGCAAGCTGGGGTGTGGAAATTGCCCTCAGCAAAGCTTTCCAAAATGTGCAGGAAGGTATTTTAGGGCACACTTCATACCAATGAACTCCTTCAGGAGAAGGACACACAAATCTATGTGGAGATAAATCCCATGGGAGCTTGGAGCCCAAGGATTTTGATGTGCATTTCTTTGGGTGCTTTCCTGTAATTGCACCTGGGTGTGTTTGTACCCCCCGAGCAATGGCAGGAAGGAAAGTCCACCTTACGCTGAGGGTGAAGCTGGTTTGAATTGTCCTTGGCAGTGTCAGGCCAGCAAATACAGGCTCTGGTAAATTGCCTGAGGCTGGAGGACATGCTTCCATCTCTGGGACAGAGGAGAACCTTCGTGTCTCTGCTTTTGGGTGCAGGCCCCTCCATGGCAGCAGTGGCCAGGCACTGGCCATGCAGGACAGTGGTGTGAGCAGGATCCTGAGGCTGTAATTGTGCCTCTGTGTTCCCTCCTTGGGCATCAGATGCTGCTGGAGCTGGGCTCAGCCAGGCCCTGCATCCCTGGAGGGGACCCCAGCCCGAGGCAGGACAGCAGGGCCACCAGTGTTGGAGATCCTCCATTCCCCCCATGACATCCAGAAGCATCTCATAATCAGACTTTTATGTTTCTTTAACACATCAAACAATCAGACCGGCCCCAGCAGTGACCTGCAGTGCTGGTGTGGAGTGGGCACTTGCACCCATGTCCTGGTGCTGGTGATTTCTGCCTGTCCTGTGTGCAGCTCCCCTCTAAAGGAGGGTTTGCCACCTTTGTACTGCTCCTTTTCTAACCATACCCTGTCCTTTGGTTTGCTCTGCTTTATCCTCCTCTGCCCCATGCTTCTCTTCCATTTCTCTTCCTCCCTGCTCCTATCCCTGCAGGAGGGAGGCAGGGGCTAGCAGGGAAGAGGGCAGGCAGCACATGGGAAGAGGCTGCACCAGCTGAGCAGCCATAAGGGAATCGGCCCCAGAGAGCCAGGCTTAGCCCCCCTGCCACATCTCCTCTCCTCTTCTCTAATCTCATCCTTCCATGTTTCATTGCAGGGCCATTATCATCCGTAACGGGGAAATCATTCCAATGTCCAGGGAGTTTACTCCAGAGACAGAGAGGCAGAGGCTGCAGTTTTTAGTAAGAAAGACCTTTCTTCTAACCAACCCCCCCCAGCCAGCCCCCTGTGCTGCTGCCTTGATGGGGTTCCAGGGGCTGAGGGCAGCCCTGAAGCTGGGACCCGATGGTGACACTTGTCCATCAAGTGCTCTCTGGGCTGTACAGAGGTGCTGGGACATAGAGCTGCCCTGACCCACTGGCGTGGGGGCATCTCGTGGCTGGTGGAGCCCTGCTTTGCTGCAGGGTGAGCGTGAGGGGCTGTGCCTGAGTCTGGCTTTGCCATGGCTTGGGGATCCTGGGCTCTCGGCATGGGGCTGGTTTGGTACTTTGCATGGAGCCAGTCTGGTCCATCTTGTCATTCTCCAGCCCGGGAATGGGGAGCAGCCTGTGCTGCTGCAGGAGCACTGGGCTGCCTGTGCCGTGACCAGGAGGAGGAGTGCAGCTCTGCTCCCTCCATCCATCCTGCTCCCTCGCACGGTCCAAGAAGTGAGTCCTAGTTTCTTCCCTGGCTGCTCCCCGGGGAGGCAGGGAGTTGACGTGTGCCAGTGGGTTCTGAGCTTTCATCCTGAAAGCTCCTTCTGCCTGGCCTGGGCAACCCCCATGTGCCACACGGGGAGACTTAAGGTTATAAAGACCTCTCTGATGGCAGCACAGAGGAGGAAGTGGTTGTCGGAGGAGGCCTCGTTGGATGACGTTTCCTGGCTTGGAAAAACACTGGGGGGTTTTTTCTTGACTCTCTTTTTGACTGAACCACAGGAGGAAACTGCTGAGAGTGGTTGTCGGAGGAGGCCTCGTTGGATGACGTTTCCTGGCTTGGAAAAACACTGGGGTGTTTTTTCTTGACTCTATTTTTGACTGACCCACAGGAGGAAACTGCTGTGAGCAGGATCTTCCCCAGCTGGCTGCAGTGGGCAGGGTGCAGGCAGGAGCCAGGCACACACTTGCTCCACTGTAGAGTGCCCATGGTGAGAGCCCCCCGGAGGAGGATGGAGCTCTCCATGCCTCTGCGCGGGACCCTCCTGTATTCCCGAGGGCTCTCCTCCTTTCTTTTGCTCTTTCTTCCTCCATCTGCATCTTCCAGCATTGTCTGTGCTCCAGGAGGCTCTGGATTGCTCTGGGAAGGGACTCTGTGCTGCTGCTTGTCCCTTATCACAGCCAGGCCATGGT